TCCCCCCCCCCCCCCAACGCAGAACTAGTGCCTACTCTGACTAAACCAGGACTGTACCTCATGCAGCACCTGCTCTAGCTGGTTCAAGACCACACAACACAGCACCTTCTTCAGGCCAGCTGGAGAGGGCACCATGTGCAGCTCATGTCCCAATCCCGCCACAGCAGGTGCCATATATGGCACAGTCCCTGACCAGCTTAAGCGAACACCACGAGCACTGGATACAGCATGTTGGGAGTGGGGAGGAAGGGAGGGTCTGTTGGTCTAACCTACCATGCAGGGCCAGCCCCGTACTGTTCATCTGGCCTCTGGACTGGTCCCATGCCACTCATCTGGCCAAATGAGTTTGGCACCCCTGGTGTAACACTTCTTGGTATTAGCCAGTACCCGAAGGGTTAAGCACATTTTCAGTGCATTGCGCTGTGCAAGATGCTGTGGCCTGAATTCCCCTTCAGTGTTAAAGCCCTGTCTTCCCCAGTCATATGATGACTGGCTGTGGGTTCACACATTCCCTGATGGGTCTCCTCATGATGTCAAGGAGGGACAATTATTTCGACTAAACCAGCAGTTGACAGCCTTTTTGCAGCAGTGGACTGGAGCGATCCAGCTTGGGTCCAAGATGGGCCAGCAGTTCTCCATCACCTGGCTGTAACACAGAGGTCCCTCCACCCCCGCCCCCCCAGACATTGTCAAAACTCCCCAAGGCTGTGGGCCAGATTAGTCCATACTCACACAATGTCTCTGGAAAATTTTCTTGGATGTGGGCCTAGATTTAGTCCCCAGGAGTTCTTCCCTTCTGCTCGTGCACTTTTCCCTTTTCCGTTAGTTACTTGTGCTTAGTTTGCTGGCTTTGCATTCTGAGGCGCATGTAGCCAACCCAGGAAAGCCTCCTGACACGAGGGGGCTGCTGATAGCATTTATGTTTTAACACTTCCATATCTGTAATGTAGTTGTTGTTTTAAATTAACAATTCCAACAACCAAAAGGCACCAGTACCCAGCTCTACAAAGGTCTTGTGTAGGCAACCTAATTGCCATTGAAACTAAATACCTAGAAGTCTTGGTGAATCTGTTCCCGAGTGTTTTAGGGGCCATGGAAGCAGTTTTTGATTGTCCCCAAGATATCATATCCAATAGCACTGCAAGATATTTAACAATGAATGGACAAGGTGTATTTCTGTTGCTGGTCTTTGCTTCAAACCTAGGCTGGGTTGGCAGAGGCTACCAGATGGGCCTTTGTGAAATGAGTCAGTCCATCATTTTGTAGCTAGGTGTAATACTACAGTTGACATTGGCTGGCTTCCCAAATGACAGTGCTAGCTGGAAGACTGAAGGGTCATGGGCCATAGACTGTGTCTCCCTTGCCTCTAATGGTTCCCCCTCTGGGTCAGGGTTGAGGTTTACTAGCAGACGGGAGATGTGTGGAAGTCGCCTGCACTGTTCCTTCCTGTGCTGTACCTGTTCTTCCCTCTGCAGGGCTGTCACCAGTCCAGCCAAGAGCCTCCTGTGTGAGCTAGTGCTGACGTTTCTTTTCCTACCCCAGATCCAGAACCCATCCTGGATTGGGAACAATGGTGCTGCCTCTCCTGTGCCTGCCTGCGTGGTCCCCTGCGACACGGTGCCCTCCTGCATGTCCCCCCATGCTCACCCCCATGCGGCCGGTGGAGTCTCTGAGTTCCTGAGCGTCTCCAGCCCAGGCAGCCACGTGGGACAGACTCACATGGGCAGTCTGTTTGGCACTGCCGGGATCAGCCCGGGCCTCAATGGCTACGAGCTGAACAGTGAGCCGGACCGCAAGACCTCCAGCATCGCAGCCCTGAGGATGAAGGCAAAGGAGCACAGTGCTGCCATCTCCTGGGCAACATGACAGAGCTGCGGCCAACGCCCTGCAGACACTGATAGAGCAAATGGGGACAACCAAATAAATCCATCCGCTTGGACTCAAGACAGCCATTGCCTCCTTGGAGATCTGCGTGCAGCACTTTTAGCTACCCTAGGCATGTAGAGTACATATGTTACCGTAAGAGGAGTGTTACAGGCATACACATGGGCAGCTCCCAGGTTCCTGGGATCAGGTGGGATAAAAGGAAGGTGTGGAGTTTCACCTCTCCCAAAGAGACTTGGCTTTCCTTCTACCACAGGACAATCTCTTGCTGCCATACTCATGTTGCCAATGACCAGGGCATTTTTCTCCCTGCTCCTTTTCTGACACCAGATCTAACTTGCCACAGAGCTAGAGCTGCAAGTCATTTCCAGGTGCTTTCTCTTCCCCTCGTACAGGGTTGTTAAGGTATCATTATTTCTCATCCCATTTGTTCTGCCCCATACAGAGCCTAGAGGCACCAGCAAGGAGGCATCTTCTAGGAAGCCCCAGAGCTCTTGGCCTCTAGACAGGAATCACAACTCTCAGCTTGAATGGGGAGGGTAATCCTGGCTAGAATGAAAGTGCCTTTGCCCCCACCTCCTCCTGCCCTTGATTTTTTCCTGTCTTGCACAATCTTAGAAGAATCAAGGCACTGTGTAGATTCTTGGGGTATGGTGGTGGTGGTAGTCCCAACAGAGCACCTCGAGGAGAGAGATGAGCACCACCTTTGCTGGAAGGCTTATCCTGTAACCTCAAGATCTAGCTCCTATGCCCCACCCCCCTTCAGTCTCCCTCCATTCAGGGTAGAAGGTGGTTTCCAAAAGTGGTCCTTTTTCTTGCCTTTTCAAAAATTTTAGGGGTGAAGTACCCAGTAAGCTTCACACCCGCCTAGGAAAAAAGCTAACATTTATAGTGTTTGCTTTACTGAGCAGAGATCCATAGTGGGGAAGAGACAATAAGCCTGATAATTTTCTTTGTTTATTTGGTCAGCAGCTACTGGCTTCTACCTACAATCAGCCACTCAGTTAAGTGCAGCTGTTGGGCAGGCCCTGTCCAGCACGAGCCTGTTGGTATCCATAGCAGAAGTGAGATCCCCTTGAAAAATGGTTCTAGCACTAGCACACACCTGGTTTCCAGCTTGGATGCATCTGTGGAATCCTTCAACAACCCCCCCTTCCCGCACCCCCGTCCCCCAAGATGCAGGATTAGTATGTCTAGAATTGTTATATATAGCAGAGTACCCCATACGTAACAACCATCTCCAGGCATCTCCCCAGCAGTAGGGGGAATGTGGCCTCCAGTGCTCATCCTCTTAAATTCCAGTCAGCAAGGAGAAGAGTGCAGAAGAAAGGCAGAACCTCCTGAACTGTCCATGTCCTTACAGTCAGGGGGGTTTCTTGATTTTTCTGTCTAATTCATATTGGGTGCATCTACACATGCCTTAAGGCTTTTTCTAATGAGCATTAAATTTAGTACCTCCAATGTGAGGTTCTAAAGAAAGGTGCATTAGGTGCCATAATGCACAGTAACAACTACGCACAGTTTTTAAGTGACACGCAATGCGCCGTAGTCTATTTTACTGCACATTAGTGTAATTGCACGTTTTTGTATGTGAAACTTTAATGCACAGTAAAATAGGCTACTGTGCATTAAAGTGTACATGTAGGTGTGCCCATTTTGTTTTATTACCAGCATCATTAATTAACGTTGGGGTGAGCTCCCCCTCCAGAGCTAAGTCCTCCTCAGATTTTCCAGCAAGTCCATGGTATTAGGTATAATCTCCAAACCTGCCTTTATATTATCACTTAAACACAATACTGCTAGATTTGACACAATACTAAAGACAGGATGGAGTGATTCTGGTACTACTCATCCTCCATACCTGTGCTCCTGAAGCAATTTAATTAGCTTGGGTTGGGTGCATCTGCCCATGAAAATAAGAAGCTGCATCATAGCTTCATCACTCATGCTCTCCCAAGAATCTGCTTCCACGTTGATTTTAGGCTTATGTTTGTATGCAAGTCTAGTGATATCAGTAGCATTACATTTGGATGAACTTGGCCTACCATATTTGAGCCAATAGATTGGGCTGAGAATGCTAATTCTTTCGAGACAATTGGTGAGTTTTTCTGTTGGAGAACAACAACATTAAGAAACAAGTTCTCAGAAGAGTCTCTGCTACTTAGAGGAAGGCTTCATTTCCTTTAAGCAGGATCATACCATTGGTGTTCTGGGCAGGGTAATGCAGAATTTTCCCATTTATAAAACTAACAGTGTCCCTTTGGCCTCTGTTCTTCTTGGGAGTCTTGTTTCAATACATTTTGGAAAGTCTAACCACGAGGCTAAACATTGGACTATTCTAAATGTAGGTTCCAAGCTAACTACGTGTATATAATATATTATTTATGTAGTGCCTCACCATTGCTGTGCACTATATAAATGATACGGCTATATTAATTTAGCATTAATATATATTTATCAGAATAAGCAAAACTAATACTCCCAGCTCATTTTTTTCCTCGAAAAAGTAGGGTTGGTAAAATGCTAAGGGGATCTTTACTCTGTGCTCACAGGAAAGATGTCATGTACGTATCCAGAAGACTGTGCAATAAAGTGTCTTCAGTCAGGGCTAAGTGGCAAAATGTTCCTTGCATGGGAAGCTGTTTGGGTTTTTTTATTTGCTAAAAATAGTGCTGATCGCCACACCAGGCAATTAATTACATTGGAAATACTGCCATTCTAGTGGTTGTATTAGAGACACTGTCCAAGCATAGACCACACTTAAATTTAAATCCTTCTCACCCCTCTCCTGAGCTTTTTTATGTTAATAAAAACACCTTTCCAGAATAAAAATGAGAAGGTTGGAAGAGAATCCAGGACAGTAGAGCCAGGAAGGGCCCCTGGGTGCCCTCACTTCATTCCAGTCCAGATCTAGGCCCTTGATTGGCTTTTCCACACATACAGTTAAATTGCTTTGTTTCTGCACCGCTTTCTGCTTGGCCAGTGAAGTTCATGTGGTTGGTTTCACCCTCTAGCTTTGCTACCTCTAGCTTTGCTAAACTAGCTCAGATCTCTTCTGTTTGGATTGCCAGCTCAGTGCAAGAAGGGGCATTTTTGCATGGATTGGTGTTTCTATTCCCTGAGCCCATTTCTAGTTGGTTTCATATTCATCCATTTTGTTCTGAAATGAATGTATTAGACAGAAACCTAATTGTCCAACTAGACTGGGGTAGCACATAACCTCTATTTAAAGCCACCTTAGTGGCACTGGAGGGATTTTGTAATTCAAGAAATACTTTGGCCACTACATATCCTCCCCCTGCCCCCCACTAGAAAAGAATAGGACTTAGTTATGCTGAATGTAATGGGGATCCTTTAGTGAGACTGCTTGACACAGACAGGCTCTGTGGTTCACTTTGCCTGCCTAGTTCCCGGCTTGTTCTACTCATGGTCACCACTACAGTCTGTGCAAAGCCTGGCCTGGTCTACAGTCATGGAAGGGCTTAGTTGTCCACCTGCTCAGGCTCTGCATCAGGAATGGAGCACCACTCTCCTCCCTACATACCCCTAGCGTCACACAAATTGCCAAAAAGATGCTACGTATGGGACATCAAACCTGGCTCGTACATTTCAGCTAGAAGATGATGTTTGGAGAGAGCCTGGGATGAAGCGAAACCTGGCTTTTTCTACCCCTCCTCATCAAATCTGTGTTCCTCCTCCTCCTCTCATGAGTCTCACAGTAAAAATGGCCTTAAACATAAAACCTCCTTTATATGTCACCAAACAAGAATTGCCCGTGGCCCTATTCTAACCAGGGGCAATGACTAGGAAGCGACTTTGTTAGTAGCTGAATGCTGAAAGCTGAATAGCACAACAAGCCTCCTTCCTCAATGGCAGGAGACACTACTGTGCAATATGGGATACATCACAGATACATGGAAAGGACCTTTTAGCTCCATTGCATATACAGTACAAGGAAAAAAGGTGTACAGAATAATAGCAGGAAATAGTAGCAAGTAGGCAAATTAACCCCTCTTTTTATAACTGAGGCAGCTTTAAAAAGGCTGTGATGGGACAGTTTAGGCCTGATTTTGTAAGCTGCTGAGCCCCCTCCATTCCTCAAGGTCAATACGAGTTGAACAGATGAGATCTACTAGGGGTGTCTCTGTTGAGCTCAATGTAAGTTTTCCCTGTATTTCACCCAAGCCATTAGCAACTTGCAGGATGAAGGCTTATATGCCTTGATTTATTAAAGACAGTTATTTCCAGGAAACAGAGAAGTGACACTGGCATTGCATTTCAACCCCAAATTTTCTTTCTCTAAAATCCTTGTGCAAAATACCCCATTGACTCATTAGATTTGTGCTACAGCCAACCGCTCTTGCCCTTCTCTGGGGCATGGAGTTACAAGAGCTGTGTTGAAGCGTGGAGGGGTGGTGGGATAAGGGGGGGGCGGTTTCCATTAGAAGAAATAAGTGCCATTAAGTGCCTCCAGCTACTTATAAGTACTTCTGCTTGCTTGCTCTCTCTCTCTCAATCTGGTGCTGACCTCTGAGTGCCATTCCCCCACAAGGTCCTAATTCAATGACACAAAGCAGAGCTGAAAGGTGGAACATTGTTACTTGAAAGCATTAGAGCCAGTTAATCCATGTGTGTTATGGTGTGAGCGCACACACATACACACACACACAATTTTAAGAAACTCTTCAACTAGAAAAAAAAATCTATTAAAAAATATAGAACTTTCTTTAACCCAGCCATGGCTTATTTTGCCTTCCCAGTTATCGCAGTGGTGATCCTTTGAGTCCTACCCTGCATCAGCTCATGACAGGGAGGCACCTTTCTTCTTGACTCCTTTCTATTTTCTTCATGATCTTTTGATATTTTATATTTTGCTACCCTCTGTAACTGGAGTTGTGATCACCTTGCCTTGGACTTGCCAACCTTAAGCCTGCCTGCCTGTCCAATTAGAAATATAACCTTAAGCCTGCCCACTTAGAAAAAAAAATTACAGAACAGAGTGACAGGCATGACTGGAGATGGGAGTTTTCAGCAGCTGTGGGTCAGGATACTAGAATAACTGGCTCAAGTGCCTAGGACCACTGCCACAGTGCCAGTAATGGTGTTTTGCTCTCTCCTGCACTCTCTGCTGGCAATCCTAAAGGTTTAGAAAACTCCAGAGAAGCTGTGCCCTCTAGCATGAATCCAGTGCTCCAAGAGGGAAGGATACAGCAGCAGCCACTTTTCTTCTGCCCATCACTAGAAACACGCAGGAGAAAGCACTGAAAATGGGAACAGGCCGAACAGCAGCATGGCTCCCAGAGCATGTTAACATGTGGTCAGGCACCAGCACCTATCCAAGGACCTGGTATCATTTATTAGTGGCAATAATGAATATTTACATAACTTAAAAAATATTTCCTACGTATTCCCTGCTCCCAGGTCTTCCACTAGTAGGCTCCAAAATGGTTCCTTTCTACCAGCCACCAAGAAGGGTGCATGGGTTTCATATAGCTGACACTTGGAGAATACCTGGTTCTGTAAAATAATCAGATCATGGAGGGTAGAAGAGAACAGTAATGCATTTTTCCTCAATACATGGCATAGGCATGGTAGGTTTCTGAAACTGAATGAAATTCCTCCTATTCTCCTGCCCCAGAACAGGTTTCTTAAGAGATGCCAGTGCTGGTGAAGCAGTCAGGCAGGAGGACTTGCTTTCTGCCACCCAGGAGACTCCAAAACATTGTTCCTGCAAACTCCTAGTAGGCCCATGAGCCATCTGCTGTGCTTGTTGTTTCCTTTAAAACCCAGTAATGAATTAAAGGTCTCATCTCTTTGGCACTAATATTGCTAGTTCCCTGTAACAATGGACTGAGAAATCAAGGCAAATTGGCTGTTGCCTAGGTTTGAAATCTGTAACAAAGGTGTGGCCCACCAGATTGTAGCTGGATAACAACACTTAAGAACAAATCTAGGTGTGTGAGCAATAGTACAGGTGTGTGTGCCCACGCGTACACGCACATGTATAGGTGGCTGAACCGTGTGCAGAATGTACAGTGTGAATGTACAAACTTGTATGCAGTGTTGTGTGCATATCCCATATGCCATCTCTGTGTTTGTAGTGAGTATGTGGATTGCACTGTACAGTCTGGATGTGGCATGTGCCTGCATGTGATGTGTCCATTTATATGGGGAGGCTTCTTTTTTTTTTTTGTGGGTGTTCCCATTCACCGAGTACCCCCAGACTTCGCAGTATGTTGTAAAACACTCTAAAAACAAACTAAGCTCAAAAGGTAGTTTCCTGGAAAGGGTTTAAAAAATAATCAAACAGACACACAGGACTATGTTTATTTTGCTGCTCTGACTGACACAGCAAAAAGCAAACAGACTGAATTAAGAATTAAATCCAAATGGGAACCGCGGCAGAATCATGCTGAAAATCAGGCAGCCAGTCTCAGCTTTACTAATGGTACTGCAGGGAGGCAAAAGATTGACCTTGTACCTTATTAACTCTTTGCTGGTAACATGATTACTTCCACCCCACCCCTCTCCACATATCTAGATAGATAGATAGAGCTAGGACTTTTATACTACTGATTTTGAAGGACAGTTTTCAATGTATAATAATATTATCAGTTTAGGTGTGCAGTGTTTGAAAGAGAGAATGGGAGAAAGAAAGAAAACAAACCTCAATCAATACTATTGTTCTTGTTGTAAAATATTGTAACCATGTATAAACGCAACTTTTTCTTTAGCTTAACAGCCTGGGGTAGAAGATATTAAGAAAAAAACATTAAAAACCAAAAAAAGTTCTGGGGGAAAAATGAATTTTAAAAAGTATGAAAAAAATATTGCAATGTGAGGTTTGTGCCATTCAATTTTAATGCCTATGCAGACATGTATTACAAGTTCATTACAGTGTAATATTAAAAAAGAGAAAACAGTCTTGCATCTTGGTTCTTTTTAAATTTTTTTTTTTTT